GTGCATTACTATTCAGTGCATATTTAATCCTTCGGCAGCTCTCTCTCACATCTCAGGCTAGGCGTTTAAAATCGGCCATGCCAATAAACCCGCCTACTTATTCATTTATTGGTTTAACAACTGCCTACTATCATTTCTGTAATTTTGCTCGGAGGAACAAGAACGCTCCATGTATTTTGAAACCTTCCACTCAGCCTTTGTCAGTCTCAGTCATTTTTAATGGTTTTTCTGTCCGAAGGTTTGGCTGTTTATTTAATGAGTCCAGTGGCATGGATTAAGTGGCTTAACCATTGCGACTATAAGCGAAAATACTTTTACTGCTTATATTGCTTGCTTTTTGTTACTCACACTCTTTCTAAATCTTCAGGTTCATTGTCACAGCTGATAGAAAACTGATGAGAATATTGCTTAAGAATAGATCATATTTGCAAAAAAAAAACACACACACACACACATATATATATATATGTAAGCTCAATACCATAGAGTATCCACTCAGCCTTTGTCAGTCTCAGTCATTTTTAATGGTTTTTCTGTCCGAAGGTTTGGCTGTTTATTTAATGAGACCAGTGGCATGGATTAAGTGGCTTAACCATTGCGACTATAAGCGAAAATACTTTTACTGCTTATATTGCTTGCTTTTTGTTACTCACACTCTTTCTAAATCTTCAGGTTCATTGTTTGCTTTGTTTCAGTGGCTTGTTACCCGTACGCAAAGAAAATATATTTCCTAATATATAAATGATCAATATATTAAATGATATAACGGTATATTAGAAAATGTACAGAATAATATATTGTGTAAATATATAACAATATATTGAATAATACATAAGGAATTGCCACTTTCATAAAAAATATATGTAATTTTATATTCAGTAATACACTTTATAATATATAGATGTACATGTGATAAGATATGGTACTGCATGTGTATAAATATATTGAACATACAGTATATTTACTCATGCAATATATACACACATATATGGAAATATATATTTCTTATGTTTAACATTTATTTACAATAAACATGTTTCACATTTTAAAATACAGCTAGTTTACAATAGCATAAGCACACCTGCTTATACTAAGCACTTGGTAAACCATCACTGTGCTGAAAAGTGCACAGCCATTACTTTTTAAATAAAGTAACATATAGTCTTAATGGTGTTTGGCCAATCGTCATCCTAACCGCAGACTCTACTCTTCAGCACAATGGTAACCACACAAACTTTACACATACCAGAAACCCTTTTAAGTTTCAAAATACAACATTAAACACTAACAGATCTCCCCCTATAATAATATTGAGCAAAAAACACATGAAATAACACTTAATTTTAAATTTTTTACTCTCCTTTAACAGTCAGAAGCAAAGCATGCTGGGAACTAGAAATCTGCTGTAACTCATTCTGAATATGAATATGTTTGTAAATGTTTGTACATACATTCACATTTATATGGGAACTTGTATGTGCAATATATACTCAATAAAGGATCAAACTTTATGAATATTAGATGTATTTTTGTCTTTATTTCTAAATATATTTGTATGTATCAATATATAGCCACACATTGTCCATGCATATATTAATGTATATTGAAAAATATAAGCACTAGTTTCCTATATATGGAAATGTATTATGTAATATATCACATTATATTTTGCAGTATATTCCCATATATTTTTGTTACGTAAGGGTAGTGCTACTGTCAGCTATATTTTGATGCATCTGGTCTCACTGTTTAATGGAATGAGGATGTTTATATCAGTTTTAGATGTCAACCATTATGGATTTTTAATGGCCAAGACTGATATCTACAGAACAGGTCGATATAATGTCAAAGTATGATATAATGCACACCAATTATAATTTTTGATCAAATCAAAAATTAGTCACACTAAAAATTAGTCAAGGGGAGCCAAATATCATCCAAGTAGGTAATTGTGCGCTGATCTAAATATGATCAAATATTGGCCTAAGCAATATCTATCTCAGTTTAACATATTGATGTAATTTAAACTTAAACTTGAAAATTTAGCACCCAAGGTGAGGTGTCGTGTAATTTATGTGCCACTAGTGTGGAATTGCAAAAATAATATTTTCAAACTAAATTTACCCTGTCTGCTATTGGTCAACTCACTACAGCAAACGTGTTGAGCGACTGTTGGTGTATCAAGCTGGAGTGTGTTTCCTAAAGCATTGTTAGTCAACTATGGTTGCAGTCTCCATCAGTAGCAATATAGTTAAACCATAGTTCCAACAAACATTCTCAAACAGCATTGCAAAGTTGTGTGGTCAGAACTACAGCTCTTAACCTGTGGTTAGAAGTAGTTTCTTGTTAGTATGACATGTAGACTTAAATATATCATGCTCTTGAGCAAAATAAGCAAGATAACATTCAGCACTATCTATAGGTGTGTCCCAGTTGACATACTTATGCCCTGTTCTATGCCATTTTATAATATAAATAGTGTGAGCAGTGTGTTCACACTAAAAATACCAGAAAGAAAAAGCACACCTCAAATACCCAGAAAAAAAGGCATTATCGATTGACAAAAATGAAATGTTGAATGTTGGACACTTCATGCACTCAACTATGACAGCTTTCTTTACGTAACAGAAGGGCTATCAAACTGTGATGTTGGATGGCAAAATAACCTAAAGTTCATACACTTGACGGTAGAGTACATAATGCAGGGGTTCTCAACTCTAGCTGTCAAAGTCCAGTTTCCTACAGAGTTAAGCTCCAACCTTGATCAAACTCACCTGCCTGACTTTCTAGTAAACCTCGAGACATTGAGTAGCTTGTTCAGGTGTGTTTGATTAGGGTTGGAGCTAAATTTAGCAGGAAAGTGAACCTCGAGGGCCAGAGTTGAGAACCCCTGACATAATGCATAGTATTAAGTGCATAATGTATAGTGCATCATTTGGAATGCAAACTAGAGCGTTCATTCCATATACTGTATACAAATGTCATTCTACGTCTTTTAGTTGTCAAGAAAATGAAAGAAAAAAACCTGGCTTGAACGGCTGATTCAAAGTTACTGTGGTTTCAGAAAACAGTTGTGACTAGCTAGTTAGTTTCTCCAATGATACATTGCACTATGTCAGTTAAGCAGCAAGTTACATCATTGTACGGGGAAAGTGCCTCTTCTCAAACAAACAGAACAATGTTTTGATAGCACTACAGAGCTGAAGTATTTACAGTTTTCAGGGAAAAGAACCTGTGAATGGCTTACTATTTATCACCATTAAGCTTTTAAATGAAATGTTATTTTATCCTCCAAACTTATTTTTGTTTCTTGACTCCTCTAGTCTGTCACATATTCTGCTATTCTCTTCCTCCTTCTGGTAAATGGGTTAGGTGGAGGGTGAGCTCACCTGCCGATTAAGATGTGTTAAATAGAGCATATGTAATCATGTCTGTCTCTTGTCTGAGTCATGCATTTGTCATAGAGGTTTGACTTAATGTCTTACTGCAGGAGAAGGTCCAGACCTTTGTTAAAGGGATAGTTCACCCAAAAATGAAAATTACCCCATGATTTACTCACCCTCAAGCCATCCTAGGTGTATATGAATTTCTTCTTTCAGACGAATCCAAAATTAGTTAAATAAATAATAAAGAATAAAAAATAAATGTAATTAAAATTAAATAAAGGCCTCCTGAAGCGAATCGATGCAAGAAAAATAAGAAAAATAATTGTAAGCAAAATATCCATATTTAAAACTTTATACTGTCGTACGCTATGTAATCAATAGAACGTTGTTGAACGTTGGCGAATGACGTAGGTGTAGCGTAAGCTCCGGTGAAAATATGCTAATGTCGTGAATGCCAAGGTTTTTTTACAGGTGCAAAGGAAGCAAAGTTTCCTTTGTTTAACAAAGGAAACCAGTCTCATCTTGGCTTATATCGAAATCCTCCAATATTTTTCTTTACAAATCCTCGTTTTGTACATCTAATTCGTGACCATTGTTTTGTTTGCTCTCTCCTCTGCTCTTCTGTGTTCATCACTTCTCACCAGAGCTTACGCTATGCCTACGTCCTACGTCATCCGCTGAAACGGCTTTCTTTTGCAAACGCACTTATGACATGTACGTCTCTAGCGGAAGCTAGAGATTACTGTTTATAAAGTTTTAAATATGGACAAAAACGCATCAATTCGATTCAGGCAGCCTTTATTCACCCCTGGAGCCGTGTGGGATACTTTTTATGATGGATGGATGTGCTTTATTGGACTTCTTTTGGACTATTGAAAAATAACACCCATTCACTGCCATTATAAAGCTTGGAAGAGTCAGGACTTTTTTTTAAATATAACTCTGATTGTATGTAATACAATTTAGAGTTTTCAGTCATATCTGTACATTTTCCTTGGCACTTAATGAATGCTATAGTTGGTCAGTTTGTCATTTATTAAACTATTTAGGTTCTCACAAGTTTTTTATGGAGTTAGCTCTTCTACAATCTTTTATATAATTTTTTTCTCACTCTGTTTTGGCAGTGGGACTCGATGAAAGATGACAGAGGAGGTGATTGTTATAGCCAAGTGGGACTACACAGCTCAGCAAGACCAGGAACTGGACATCCGGAAGAACGAACGCCTGTGGTTGCTGGATGATTCCAAGACCTGGTGGAGAGTCCGCAACGCATCCAACCACACCGGCTTCGTCCCCTCTAATTACGTGGAGCGCAAAAACAGTCTGAAGAAAACCTCTCTAGTGAAGAACCTGAAAGACACTCTCGGTAAGAAGTCTCACAGCTCAGTGAAACATTTCACCAATCCACAGTCCTGCCAAACTAGAAAAGTTCTTTTAAGGCAAGTCGGTTCATGCAGCCATCTTGGCAACACCCTCAGGAAGTAGAATATCTACTGGGGAGAAAAATGAAATCTCCAGAACTTCCATAACATGTCATATCATCAAAATCTGATGATTGAAAGACTTGCCTTTTTTTTTTTTTTCGTTCAGTTTTGAATTTGATGACAGGCATTTTCATGGCCTCAGCATTTGCAAAGTAGACCAGTCAAATCTAAGGTTATAATTAAGATTGGTTGAGTCATTAGGTATATGGTGTTGTTTTGATCTAAATGTCATAGTGAAGAGCCTGCGCAGGTCTAGACCTCATACTCCTTCAGTAGATGAAGTGTATGAAACGCCCTCGCAGTTGCCATGCCCTACTTCCCCCATACGCCTCCGGAGCTTCATGCCTTTAACGCTCAATCTGTCATCTCAAGGCACTAAGGGAGACTCTTGGGACTGTCGTTTTTTGCAGCAAGTTGTGTATAAGCCAACAACACAAAACAAACACGGGGATTTAGGAAGCAGATGAGCCAGTGGAGTTCCTTTGATTGCATGTGTTATGCTTTATAAAAATGATTGAATTTAATGTTGAGATACTTGCCTTGAGGGGCCCTCCTTCATTCATTCCAATGAAACATTTTAATGACACAGTATTTACCACAACACCAAAAGCAAGTGAAGCATCTGAACACTCTCTTGCCTTAAGTTTTTGATGACTATGACATTGTTCTGTTAGGACAGGATTCCTCGGAATTATTTACTGAAAATGGTCACTGTTTAAAAATGTATCTCATGTGTATAAGATTGGTGTGGCCCTAGGGGCTGACTCTGAATGTCAGGAGCCCCCTGCTGTCCATTAGCAAGTCCACCAATATCCTCATACCCATGCCCTGTTATCTGGAACACTATACAGGTTAGACCTCAAAATAAACTATTAAATATTAATACGCTTTACCTTTTGTTTGGAAGTAGTCAGAGATGCTTTATACCAGGGCTGTCCAAACTCGGTCCTGGAGGGCCGGTGTCCTGCAGAGTTTAGCTCCAACCCTAATTAAACACACCTGAACCAGCTAATCAAGCTCTTACTAGGCATAGAAACTTCCAGTCAGGTGTGTTGAGGCAAGTTGGAGCTAAACTCTGCAGGACACAGCCCTCCAGGACCGAGTTTGGACAGCCCTGCTTTATACATTTTATGTGGTCTCTTGCTAAACAGTTATTTAATATTTATTCTGTTATGTGCAGAATCATATTTGCCACAACTGGCAAGTATTTTCCACAAGTGCCAAGTTATCCATCAGTTCTCCCATGGGCCGTCTCAAGACCTACATATGGGTGAGACACTACAGGTGTGAGGATTAATGGATTTCTAGCTCCAGTGCATCCCAATTTTTTGCCCTTCTCATGAAATGCCTGAGTTCTAGGCCAGAGCATTTCCATTTCCATGTGCTGCAGATGGAGAAAAATAATTGATGGGTACTGGTTGACAATGTAACTTGGAAAGTTTGGAAAGAGAATATGGAAAACGTAAAGGGGTCATATGATGCGATTTCAATTTTTCCTTTCTCTTTGGAGTGTTACAAGCTCTTGGTGCATAAAGAAGATCTGTAAAGTTGCAAAGACTAAAGTCTTCCAATCCAAAGAGATATTCTTTATAAAAGTTAAGAGTCAACCACGCCTACCTAAAACGGCTCGTTCTAACACACCCCACATGTCTACGTCACGATGTGAGAAGATTTGCATAACGCCGCCCAAACGTTCACGCAAAGAAAGAAGGCGTAACTTCTATTCTCGCTGTAGTATTGTTGTTGCCGCCGCCACCATGTCGTGAAGGCG